GAGGAAGTATGGCCAGAAATGGGAACATTAAATTATAATACCATGTTGGAACTTAGGTTATTTTGCAGAAGATGGGATAAGTGGGATGAAGTCCCATATGAGGATTTATTTTTCTTGTTGAAAAATGATCATGAAACAAGAAAGAATTGCAGACTATTGGTGTCTAATTCAAGTGTGTTAATGATGATGGCTTTGAAACATAAATTTGTAATGAATGTGTGAACTTATAGCCTCCTGTTAGCAACCTGCTGTTTATAATCAAGAGGAATTTCCTTTATTTTCCCTTGATAGAATACATGGTGCTATCTCCTCTGTTAAAGCTTAAAATCTGCCAGTGTGAAACACGAGTGGTTTATGTCTAGAAGTTACTGGACTAAATCTAATTAGTTTTTTAAGTGTCAAGTGTTCCTAATTTAGGAATATACAACATATAATAATGTTTGAATTGTTTTTTTCTCTCCCATTTGTTCTGTTCCCTGGCATAGTTACTAAAACCTAGACTCCCTTTGAAGTTGCATATTTAGTATAGGTAGATGAATGTGGTGCTGAGTTTAGCCTCTGTGGTGAGCCTTTTAATTACAAAATGGGAATAGGAGTATGAATATGAGGACACCAGTATACCAAATGGGATTGGAGCCCCTTACAGAACAAGGACGTTTTCTTCCAAAGTTGAATTTTTATCAGGTGAGGATGAGAGGAATATACCTTCCTCTCTATTAAATGAGGATCTCATAACAACCTAATGCCTTTCAGAAAGAGCAGCTTCTTTTACTAGCTACAGCAATTGCATCCCCTGCAACTTGGCTGGAGAGTTTTCAAACAGGTTGTTTGAAGAGATACTAGTTTTGCTCTGTGTGACTAAGCTGCAGTTGTTGCACAATAATGTCATAATTCTGTGGACCAAAATAATTTAACTTTGTTGTACAAAACTTTTACTGGGCTATTTCAAATTGCCCAGTAAAATTTGATTTCCTTTAGAGAAATAGAATATTTAGCAAGTTAGAGGCATGTTAACTTTTATCCTTTGGCTTCATAAACTCTAAATCATTAGAATCGTAGAATAAATTAGGTTCAAAAGGATCTCTGAAGTTGGTGGTCCAATCCCCAATTCAAAGCAAAATCAACTTGGATCAGGTTGTTGAAGGTTTTATGCTTATGAGTAATAACAATTTGCTGCCATTTCCTTAAACCCTTTTTTTTTTCCTATTTCTTCTGGGCCACAATAACTTTGTCCTCAGTATTATTCACTGGGCAAATATGCTATTTAATTAAACATCATATGAAATCTTTCTAGTATTTCTTCTGTTCTATTAATGTGTCTCTCATTAGCTTATGTTGTATACCCCTAGAACATGGGTCTTTTTGAAGAATTTTGAAAAATCTGATTTTTTTCCCCACACATTCTTCACAGATTGTGAAATTAATGTCAATCCTTGATTTTCAGCAATGTGTATCTTTCTCCACAATTTGTATCCAGGGCTTTTATCTTTCACAGATGCATGTTGGTTCACAGTAGAGGAGAGAATGAGGCATTTTGAAGACAAAAAGTAAAGGATATCCCCTCATTAAGGGAGGGATGGTGGGGAGAGGGAGAATATAATTATAAACTTTATCAATGTATTTATATCCACCCAGTAAAAGTGGTTTATCCTTTTTAGCTCAATTTTTCATTACAGTAGATATATTTCAAATCTTTTTCACATTAAATAGTAGATAATTTGAGAATTCTGATATCTTGCATGTTACTCTTATGTTTTGAATCACTAATTATCAGTCAGTTCTTTAGCAGTGCCTCTTCAGGTTCCTGCTTGCACTTCTGAGATCTCATATGAGGTACTTTTTACAATCTTTTTTACAGTGTGAAAAGGTGAATTATTTGTACTGTATTATTAAGAGTTGCATCTGTGGTAGGTTGACCTTGTCTGGATGCCAGGTGCCCACCCAGATGCTCTATCACTTCCCTTCCCAGCCGGACAGGGAGAGAGTAAGGTGGAAAAACAACTTGTTGGTTGGGATAAGGCAGTTTATTTAAAGCAAAAAGTAAAGTGGAAGCTTGTGCGCGCAAAAGCGAAGCAAAAGATAGCGGGGTTTATTCTCTACTTCCCGTGAGCAGCAATGGTCGACCACTTCTGAGAAGCAGGGCTTCAGCACATGTAATGGTCTCTCAGCAGGCAGCCATTGGAGACTAATGCCTGCCTTCCTGCTCCTTGTCTTTGCTTTTACATCTGAACTGATGTCATATGGCATGTAATATCTCTTTTGTTAGTTTGGGTCAGCTGGCCTACTTGGGTCCCCTCTCAGGATCTTGCCCTCAACTGAGGAAGGAATGTTACAGTGCTGATGCTGTAGCCAAAACACTGGTGTGTTATCAACACCCTTCTAGATTCCAATGCAAAGCATAGCACTGTGAGGGCTACTGTGGGGAAATGAACTCCAGCTCAGCCAGACCCAATACATCACAAAGTATGTTGCTTCCTATGCTATTCCTTTCATATACTAGCATTGTAATTATCCAGGACAGCATTGATTTTAGAGACTGTTATATACATTCATTTTTGGATAAAATTAGCAGCTTTCTGTTCCATCAACAGGAGCATAGACATTGATAAAGTGGTATTGTTCTAGCTCCATTCTTTAGGGCCTAGGTGTGTTTACTGTCTGGTTTTTAACCTCAGTAACTGCAAATTAATGCAATACCATTTGAATAGTTTTATATCTTGTAGTCATTCCTCCATTGCTGAGATGCAGGGGGCGCCGTCGGGTCACTGGAGATGCAAAACTTGTAATGTCCTGTACCATTCACCAGGTAGTGCTGTTGGGTCACTGGAGGTGCAGAACTTGTAGTGTCCTATAGTGGCCACCAGGTGGCGCTGTTGGATCACTGGAGGAGCAGAACTTGTAATGTCCAGTGCCTGTCACCAGGCGGCGCTTTGAGATCCTTGGTTGCCGCCAGGTGGGTTGGGGGAGGGGGAAAAAGCAACACCCCCCAGGGTATATCGGAGAAAAAACAAAAAAAACTCGATTCCCCTTCCCTTCCCACACTGGAAAAAAAGGGGGGGGGGAGGGGGGAAGGGGGAAGAAAAAAAAACAGCAATAAAACAGAAAGTTCTCCCAATGGAAGAAAACTCAGGAACTTCAGCTGGTTAGGGTTCGCTTTAAGCAGGGCCTGCAGCCAGCAACATTTAAGCAGAGAGCAGCAGCAAACTCCCCTCCGACAGGAAAGAAAAGAACCAGGCAGTGTCTGCAGCTCGCAGCAGGTCCCAAAGCCCCACTGGCACACACCAGACTCTCCTCCCAGCCTGCGTGCTAGCCACACAGTAGCCCCCTTCAAACTCCTCCCACTTCGTTGCCCAGGAGACAAGAGAAAAAAAAAGTAAAGTGCAAGTCCTTATCTGCCTTGTCTCCTAGGAGACTAATGTACTACCATCAGCCATGGGGGCTAGGTCTTTTGTAATCTGAAGTGCTTATCTTGACATCCAGGGGGGAAGGGAGAAAATTCTTCATCTGGCTACGAGAGCTAGCTAAAACCACGACATTTGGCAAACTGATTTCTTTTTAATCTGTCTTTTGATATGTTTTGCTGGGAGACCCTAATCTCTATAAAAACATGTTACTTAGTTCTTGACTATTGGAGTTTTCTGATGCAGAGGTCTATATTTGCTAAAAATGTTTAAGTGAACTATGTAATAAAGCTCAATATCAAGTATGCAGAGCATCAGGAATTACTCAAGGCTAAGGGCTATATGGTTACTTTTGGAGATACTAAGTGTGACAACTTTATTTAAGGTTCCTTTTAAATAGTTGGTATATTCTTTCACTACTATAGGATTCTTCCTTTGAAGATGAATATGATGGCTATCTGCCTTTGGCAGAATATGTACAAGACTTCCTAAATCACCTCGCCGAGCAACCAGGTTGTTTTGAAACTGAAATAGAGCAGTTTGCTGAAACAGTGAATGGCTGGGTCGCTGCAGATGAAACTTTGCAAGAACTTGTTGAACTCGTATATCAGCAGGTAGCCTTTGTATTCTGTCTTAATGTGGATGTTATCCTTTTGTTGCCTAGTGTGTAAGATATGCATACTAGTATTATTTGTTATATCATTATACCTATGTAATGTTTTAATGGTTTGAATTTTTCTTTTTAGACTGAAATGTGTAGGGAAAGATTTTTCTCAATAAACTGTAGCGATAGCTCAAGTGTGGTATACTTGGTTGGTTGATAAATTTCCCCAATTTACTCTGTTTCCTTTGCTGTGTATTTGAATCTCTCAGGTTACTTACTAGAATTGAAATTACAGTAGTTTATTAAAGGAGTTATATTTGAATTGCTGGATTTATATAGCAGAGACTGTCAGTTGTACATTTTTATTCTATCCTACAAAAAAATTCTTCATAATAGATATTTTTTCATTCCTTGGTATTTAAAAAAAAATATATACCTACTATTTACATCACCCTTTGGGAAATGTTCTTTCACTGACAGGCTTTGTTCTTCATTTGGTATTATACCTATTTCAGAACATCATAATTAGGAAAAAAGGAAAACTAGTCTTCTGGTAATTAGGTCTAATCTCATAGATGGTCATGGAAATGAGGACAGAGACCTTGAGCTGAACTCTGTACTAATTGGGGGAGCCATTGGAAAGAACAGCTTAATCTGTGTTGCTTAGCAAATGAGCTACTGCTACTGTCTTCTGGGCTTGCTGCAGAGGATGAACTCACAGTTCTGCTTGCTATTTATTACATTAGGTGTCTTCCATTTTCCTGAGTTTTCAACTCTACCTTGAAGAATGTAAACTTTATTCACCTTTTAAGGGCAGATAATTGCAGATTTTTTTTTTTTACTGTGAAATAATCTGGGGTATGTAGAACCTGATCATTATACAGAGCTGTAGCATCCTAAATTTTTTACTATAATACGGAATTGATGAACATTTAATCACAACAGTTTAGTTAGACATGAAGATTACTTGTGCTGTGTTTGGCAGCATCATTTTTCCATCCTTTATTTGGACACATAGTTAATAGAAGATGAAAATATTCCATATAACTTTATTGGAAGAAACTTCATATATGTTAAATAAATTGACTCTTGTTTAATATAAGTCTTTTGATGTTACATCTTTTTCTCTCCCTCTATTTAAAACAAGTCCAATGGACTTAGTAATTATCTACTCCCCCCTGTTCTTTCTAATACATTTATGTCTTGACAGAGTAAAGTGCCAGTTCTCTTGTTTTCCAGAAGCTGAACACTTTGATTTCATAGCTTAAGAATCTTGTCTGTTGTCTAGTTAATATGGTGTATTGTTGCTGTTACAGCAACTAAAATTTCTCAAGATACGTATTGGTAGACTAGCCTTCATGCTTAGATTTTTACTTTTTTTTGAGCTTGAGATAAACTGGGATTACAAAGCAACAATAATTCAGGGAAGACAGTACTGTACTATAATGATTGGTTAGTAAGATGATATGAGGTGGGATTTTTTGGTCTCTGTGTGCTCTGCAACAATACCCCAAATTGAACTGTTTCAGTATCTAATGCAACCACAAACACAGATTAATTAGGAAGATAATGGTTTAAAATAAAACAGATGAGGTTTGAAGTAGTTGTTGGTTTTGGCTGTGTGGTGGTTTGTTTTGGTGAGGTTTTCTTTGTTTTGTGGTGGGTTTTGGTACTTTTTGTTTGTTTGTGGAGTTTTTTTTGGTTGAGGTTGGTTTTGTTTTGTTTTTCTTTTTTTCCCGTAGGAAAGTGTAATTTAAGTGACATATTTTGCCTTATAAAAAGGGGGCCACCTCTTCTAGTCCAAGCAACTGATTGAACTAAAGCACCAAAAAAACTTGTTAGCTATTTCACATGCCTCTTACTGGAAACTAGAGTTGTTTTGACTATCCTAATTACTTAAATTTGTTGTATCTTTCAAAGATATCTCAGTTCTTTCCAGCTATGTTATGCATATAGTACACTTATGTTGAGTGTATATTTTCCTCTGCCTGTAGAAGGTAACTAGCTATAATGCATTGACACGCTAATGGCAACATGATTTTTTCAAACATATTAGAAGCAGAAGCATGCAAGCACATTTATAGCACTGATAGATGATCAAGATGTAAAAGGAATGTTTAAAGATGATAAAGCCAAAGGAGAAGTTTAATGAATTCTTATCCATGGGGGAGGGGGGGGGGGGGTGACAGAGCTGTTTAAGTTACTTAGACCAGAGCCTCTTTTCAGTGAAACTGAGAAATAATATCAAATTCTTGTTAGAAGAGAGTTCAAAACAAATGAGCAGTAATAAATTACCAAAATAAGGGAATGTTCTGATTTAAGTTCTAAGAGAGGTTGAATGTAAACACTAATGGATGCCCAATTACTTTTACCACCTCTTGGAATTTTCAAGTACCAGTTGCAAAGCAAAATATTTTTCAGACAGTGTACAACTTATGTTGAGGAATTTAGTTGACACCACCTGTTTTTAGATTATAAAAGTGTAAATGTTCAACAGTAATAGGACTTGTTTTAGAAAAAAAGGACTCATCAATAGCTATTAACTGTAATTATACAGTTTTAATATCTGAATCAGAAGTTTGCTATTCTGCAGTTTGCTGGAGCATGTACAGGACAAAGTATTTATCTTTACTTGCAGTGTTCCTGTGCTCTTTCCCTGGGCATTCATTATTACCAAAAATAGATTCTGGGATAAATAGCTCTTAGACTGAATGAAGGCTAATTATTTATTTATTTGTTTTGTTTTAACACACTCTTTGCTCCTTAAAAGAAATGTCTTAATGTTCACTCTTGGTTTGGGGTTTTTTTGGAGGGGTCTGTCTAAACAGTTTGGAAGTGACTTTCAGATACCCTTTGGTGTAGGTCACAATCGAGAAATAGAATTGAGGACACATGACATAATGCTGGTTGTTTTCTTAAAGCCACAAAACCAGTATAATGAACTTCAAAGTGATGAAATGCATATAGCAAAAAAAAAAAAATTAACATGAGAAATAGTAATTATCAATCTTTTTCTCTTCAGTTGTCTAGTCAACTGTTGTTAAACACAGATTTTCACAAATCCCGTAAAGATATTTCCTGATAACCTAATCATGACTTCTATGAATAATTTCTTTTCCACTTCTATTTTGGAAGGCCACAACTGTCCCAAATTTTTCCTACATGGGAGCACGGTTGTGTAACTATCTATCTCATCATCTAACCATTAGTCCACTAAGTGGGAACTTCCGACAATTGTTACTTCAAAGGTTAGTATCAGTGTGTCATTTTAAGCCCATTATTTTCTCAGGTTGTCTTCTTCTTTCATATGTAACTCTTAACAAAGCATGCATATTTAAAATAGAAATTTAGATTGAGGATTATTAAAGCACAGGTACATACTAGATATCTCACACATATATTTTAAAATTTTAATATTTTTAATATGAAAATGGGACTCTGTTTGGGGTTCTATAGACTCTTTTGAATTGAGTATATTGGACTAATACCAAGTTACAGGGTAAATTTGAAAGGTAGTCAACTTTAAATGTATACTAAATGCATGCATATGTACTGTCCTTGTCCTTTGGCTCTTTCCAGGGCTTATTTCGTTGTGTTTTTTCTTTACTTTTCTGTCTGGACTTGCTGTGTAAGGTTTATTTGTTTGTTTGCTAACTGACTTTACAACTATGAAGTAGATGCATAAAATCTAGAAGGATAAATTTCTTCAATTTTCAGTTACTACAGAATTTGGGGGATTAAGGTTTAATAATGATTAGACTTCATAGTTGACAAAAATGCAACATTTTTAAATGGATGTATTTCCTTTTAAATCTTACTGTTTGACACTTGAAAGAATAGCACACTTTATTGCTACAGATTTCTTTAGAAAATTATCTTTTTTTCTTTAAGGACTTTTGACTGACCCTGAGATGAGCTCAGTTGGTTAGAGCACGGTGCTAATAACACCAAAGTTGTGGGTTCAATCCCCATTCACTTAACAGTTGGACTCGATGATCCTTGTGGGTCCCTTCCAACTCAGAATATTCTGTGAAATCTGGCTTTCTAAGCTCCAGACTTGCTTCTTATTTTAAAAGTTTCACTTAGTCCACCTATGTTTAGGAGTAAAGTCATGATAAACTTAAAAGAACACAGTTGTTGAATACTAAAAAAATTACCTCAGTGTGATGTTATCTTAATCCTTGCTGCATTTATATCTAAATTATGCTTCTGTCACTTAAAATGGTAAGATAAAGAATTTATCAAATAAGTGTAAAGGTATCTAAGACAATGTGGGCAGCGCCCTGAAAGGGAGAAAATGTCTTTCAGAGTACACCTACTTTATTTCTGTTGATGTTTGTCTGTCCATGTTAAACTTCCTGGACCCATATTATAGTATATAAATTGTGTAATTGTCTTTTAATTTTTGCATGTTGCAATTTGTTCTATTTAATTTTGCTGTCTCAGATATCTCAGTGCTCACCTAGAAGAACAAAAATCTGCATTGTCTTTGTAAAGCTCTCTCACCACCTTCACAAATCAGACTTCCTAGTATTCAGCATTTAATAGTTCTAATGCAGTGAATAAGTCCTTAGCATTCCATTAAATAAGTAGCATGTTGCATATGTTAAGTTGTCTACAGATTATATGATTTTTGTTTTACCATTTTCAGGTGTCAAACAGAGTACGAAAATAGAGATGAAGCTGCCAAAGGAGATGAGACTGCTCGAAAACAATTTCATGCCTTTGTGTTGTTCTTAGCTGAACTTTACCTTAACCTAGAGGTAAGAAGAAAGTTGCATGTCAGATGGTTCTTCATTGATTTTTGTTGTGTTTAGGTAAACACTAAAATGGAGTATCATTCGAGGTGTGGGGTTTTTTTGCTTTTGTTTTTTTAAAGGGAAAGGGGAATAAAGTCAAAGAACTTTAGAACAGTTTCATTATAATATGGGTCTAAGAAATAGATAAACAAAAAAGGACATCAGAAGAGAAATGAATAAAGATTAAAAAAAAAGTATAAGAATTCATAAAAAGAACCAACCATAAACCACCTTTGGAATTAAGCTTTTGGTATTTTCTTTTGTCTGGTAAAACCACCAGATTACTACACTTAGCCAACATAGAAGCAGATCAGTATCAATAACCCATGTAATTCAGTATTCAACCACTAATAGGAGCTATTCTCAAATGCTCGAGGAAGGCATAGGAATCTTCAAAATGAGTAATTAAAAATGCAGACCTTGAAAGATATTTCTTCTGAAGTTTGAGTCTTTGGCTTATGGATGAAGCATGAAATCTTGTATTTAGATCAAATTTTTTGTTTCTGATATGTAAAAAAAAATGTATCTACACATAAAAGTCTTTGACTCTTATACCCATGAGTTCAGTAAGTTCACTGACTGCTGTAGTGTCCTTAAAATATATTCTTCACTGAATTATTTCAAAGGTTTGATTTAAGCAGACACTATTAAAATGTTCTGCTGGCATGAGGAAAGAAAACTCTGAATCTTCCATTTTTGTTATAAGTGTGACTTGAAATCTAATTTTCCCATGATAGAAGTAAAAAGAAAGCTTTCCAAAGGGTTTGGGGGAGAGGAAGTTGCTCAAATTTGAATATAATTTATTTTTAAAACATTTTTTCTAATTTTTAAATATATAAAGAGTGCCTGCTAGAAGTAAGCTATGCTATAGCTGCAGAGAATGCATAATGTAGGATGGGAAAGAGCATGGGATTATGAGAATTTGGAATGATGTGGACTACTTGCCAGGCATTTTGCAGCTTTTATTAGCAATTTATTAGGAAAGAAACAAAATGCTAGATGGACATCATTATGTATATGTCAAAATTGCAAGGATACTACTCTGTGTTCTAGAAATAGTTACAGTATTTGACATGTTCTTTCACCTGAAGAGCTCAACTATGTTAATCACAAACCAGATCACACAGCATTCAAGAGAGAAAATGAGACTTAATGAATTTCTAAAAGTTAAGTATTTTAAACGTAGTTTGGTTTTGTTTTTTTTAAATATATTTTGCAGATTAAAGGAACAAAGGGACAGGTTAAACAAGCAGAAATTCTTCAAGAAGGCCTTCAGGAATTACTAAATGTGCTCTTCTCTAATCCTGTGGATAATAATTTGATGTGTGCAGTGAAACTGCTGAAGGTGAGACAGTAGTTTTAAAAGAAGAAAAAGAAAAAAAGTTTTTTAAGTTTTTTTAATATATCATCATAGTCCTGAATGAAAGAGGGAAGCTCATGAGCACTACTTTTTTATATAATAATATGGAGATCATAATATATTTTAATTACAAATACTAAGATACTTTGGTTTTTTCTTCTTGAGATTTTTTTTTATCTAAGTAAGAATAGAGTACATGACAGGTGATGGTGGAAAGTGAGGAAAAGAAGATATGGTCATATATAGTTCCTGCTGGTGAACTGTTGGGGAAAAAAAATAAGAAAAAAAAATCAAGTGAAAGTCTACTTCTTTGTGCCACAGACTGGAGTGGATTCCTGGGCCACAAATTCAAGATCCAGGCTAATAGAGGTAGTCACATCACACAATTCCTTCTGTAGGTCGGTACTACAGCATGGGGTTAACAGCTTTAATTAAATGAAGTAATATAGAGAGATTTCTGATTATGGGTAATTAGAAATTCAAAATTTATTAGGTAAAAGGAGGGAGAGAGTGTTTTTTTGTATCTTAATAAGCATGAAAATTATTGGAGTTATGCAAGTGTCTGACATTCAAGAATGTCCAGCTCATATGCTTCCATGCCCTGAGAATGCTTTAACTGGATGCCTCAAAAGTGAAATGAGCAATGCATAAAGTCAGTGGGTTATATTTCTGAAACACATTAAGTGTAGGTCAAAGTGTCTTATGAAAGTATTTCTTATTGGAAAGATGAGAATTTTTGCATATTTAAATGAAGTGCTTGAAGATTGGGAAGAGAAAATGGAGAGCCTTTGGATAATGGGAAGAGTGTTGTTTTGGTTTTTTTTTACCAAAAAGCCCTACTGGACAAGGAAAGGTATGTAGGGAGCATTATGTTTCTTGTTGAGACAAGGATGTCTCTTCATACATTTGGGAGCAGTGGAGGAAACAAAACTGTAAATGAAGAAATATTTATGGGGGTTTATGCATTACATGATTAGTGGAGCAAACTGTACTTTTTTCTTAGTACCATTATGAAATTGAGCAACCAAAAAAAAGTAGCATACTACAATAAAAGTCAAATGGAAGTCTGTGTACATATAAGAGCTGTAGAATTAGAGCCAAGGTGCAAAGGAGTAAGCAGTCCCTTTAGGTCTCCCTTTTCCACTTCTGGTGTGGGAGACAACTGTAATCAATTTGAAGCAGTTAGGGTTTATCACTTGAGGGGCTTTTTTTGTTTGGGTGGGTTTTTTTCAGCAAAAGGTTTGCTATAATAGTTATTTCCTACTGTATTGTCTGCAACATTACTATGATAGAAATATATTTCTCTTTCATGATGAAGACAAACCTCTTTGCTATTAAGTTTTGCTTAGAAAAAAAATGCTAGGCTCTATGCAGGGAGAAATTTTATCTTTCCAAGCCATTGTTATAGTTGAGAAAACAATTTTGGAATGAAGGTCAAAAGCTAACCAGTATTTTCATGGAGTTTTTATTCTGGTTTTTTTTGTGGTTCGTCAGATTGTTTTTCTTCATTCTTCCCCCTTCTGACTATTTTATCTTAAATTCTGGGAGCTTCTTTTGATATGGTGAATAGAAAAGAGAAGTTTTACATCCTCCAATTTAAACCCTTCATTTGAAGTTTGTGTATTTATGAAAATTGCATCAGAACAAATGTGAGATTATGTTCAAGGAGTATATTCACTCCTGGAGTCAATCCTTCTTTAGAAAGTGCTTCCCTGGAACAAGGCCCACTGAAGGACCTTTCAAAAAGACAGTACACAAATCAGGAATCAGTGTTGCTGTGTGTAAGACCCCAGGCTCACCCCATGAGCTCATCAAAGGGGTTTTACGCCGAAAGGGTAAGGCCTCAAAACCCACCCAACAGATTTATTAAAGGATGTTAGAATTCAAGCTCTGGGAGCTGCCGGCTCACAGGCTTGGCTGGGAGTTTTACTTTAATATATAGATATAGAGTTCTTTATTACCTCAAGATAGCATCAAGAGAATAAACCATGGGCTTGTTCCCAAGGGATTTCTTTATTAATTTAGGGGAGCAAATAAGGGAACTTGGTCAAAGTTCAAAAGGACACCACACAAGCTAGACAAAAATGTTCCACCACAATATTGAGTCAGCATATACTATTAATCTACAACTTTTAAGTCAAAAGCCATCAAATCCACAACACTTAAATCAAGATCCAATCCCTCCAGCTCCAAGTCACCCTAAGCATCAAGAAAGGAGGAAAGAAAGAGAAGCAGAGGGAGCAAGAAGAAAGAAGGAGAAGGAGGGAGAGATAGCTACCACTGAAACCTTGTAGAAGACCAGCTCTCACAAGTCCAGTGGCAGGGCCATGACACAAGGCAAACACATGCCTATGGTTTAATCTGCTCTGCTCCCTATGGAAAACCCCTCCAGGTGGGGTCTTTGACTCTGGGGTTCCAGACCAGGGCGAGGGGCAGTGTTCTCACTGTCCCTTCCAATCTGAGGCTGGGTTAGGGGCTGCAGGAGGTGTCGTGTGTTATAGTTTTCCCAGGCTGTTTGTGACTTACAGCTACTCCAGGGCTTCCCCATGTGGGGTCCAGGGGCCTGCCATGAAGGATACGATGCCACCCCACCTCCATGAGGTTTGACCCATTCCTTCCCCCTCCACACACACACACTCCCCACAAGATGGTTCTGACCAATAATTGATCTGGTGTCTAACATAGGGGCCTTAGGTTCTTTTATACCCTGAGGCCATGCATGGGAAAAACATAACGTTTTTCAGGAGGTCAAAATAACACACTTATACTGACAAATTTTAGAAAATAGGGGAAATCAAACATTCAATCAATATAAAGCATTTCACAAAGCATTGATTTAGCAAATTCTAACGTATCCAGGTTAAAGTTACCCAAATATCAAGAAAAGGAAATTAGGAGAAGTAAAGAGAGAGAGAGAAAGAGATTTATAGATACCACCTTAGATCCAGCATAGAACCAACTCCCATAAATCCAAGAACAAGAGGGCCATGACCTGTGGGGGACCTCGTGGTATTGATTTTATTTGCTCTGGACTCCTGTGACCACCCACCTCCAGGTGGGGCTTCCAGTCTGCCAGCCATTTGGGATCTGGGTTAGGGCCTCCAGGGGATGTGGTGTGGGGTTTTAGGTGTGCCAATGGCTAATAGACATTCTGGGCTGGACTAGAGGCTCCGGGACAGGGGGATATAGGGCAGTGAACTGTCCCACCTTGGCAGAACTTGCCCTGCCCCCCCCCATACTTTAGTTGTTTCAAACCATTGATAATTTCTTTCAGTCTCACACTGTGTTTTCTGATTGTTCTTCAAAGAAGATGGAGGGTTCACTATTTCTGTGAATATTCACAGCAATATTTATTTTGCTTCATTGTCCATTCCAGAATAAAAGTCAATTTTGTGGGTGGGTGTGGGTTGTTTGTTTGTTGTGGGTTGGGGGGTGGTGGTGGTGGTGGTGATGTTTGTTTGTTTGTTTTAATGCAAATGTGTTCTGATATCTCAAAATATCTACAAATGTCAAAGTGTATTTGTAGCTAGACTGGGCTACCTCATGAAAACTTGGATTCACTACTGAAGCAATACATGACCCCTGTTGTCCTTTCCATTTAATATAGTGACAGATACAGGTTTTTCACCTATTTGCTTTGCAATATATTTAATTAAACCTTCGTGGAGCTGTTATATGATTACCTAGGATCAGTGCAGGACCACAGTAGAAAACTGGGAGTATGAAACAAGTGCTGACCAAAATGCTTGTTTTTATCTTTGCATTTTATTCCTTCAAATCATCAGATGCCATTCCAAGCATTTTTAGATCATATAGTATTTATGCTGAATAGATTAGGAATTGCTATTAAGTTTGACCATAGTGGCAAAATTATTTTTTTCTAGTTTAACTCATCTCCTACTCTGTGATTATTGGACAATGAGTTAAGTACCTATTCTTAACAAAAAGGCTTTCATCCATAGCAGTTCTAGACTGCTGCTAAAGCTCTCTCAGCAACAGCTTCAGTCTCACAGATTTTATGTATTAAAACTCAAGTTGGTTTGGTCAGATAATTCTTGACTCCTCTTTATATATACCCAGGTGAAATTCTCTCACGTGTCTGATGCTAGGTACGTTGACTGAAGTCTTTCTAAAACTTACTAACCTATTGTTATTATGACGTAAACCTGTGGCATCATCTGCAAAATATGGTCTGTTTTTTCATAGCATATATTTAAAGCAATTAAGATCTAACAAATGCTGTTAGTCCTTTTAACAGGATTCAGAATGCAACCTCCATGTCCCTCTGATGCACAACTTCAGAAAGATGATGAAATGTAAGGCTTTTTTACAAGAAATCACCGCAATATTAAAAAAAATGCATTTTATTGTAACGTGACTTTTTTGCAGTGTAATTAAATCACTGGAGAGTTTTTTCAAAATCATGTTTCAAGACTGAAAGGAGAGAAGTGACTGTAAAATTCTAGGCAACATAAACATTGGACATAGAGTTACCATACTGTCTGTAGTCTAAAATAAACTAATAAAAATAAAAAGTGTTTTGCTAATGAGTTATGAGGAAGACCAAGCTCCTCCCTCTAAGCAATTGTAAATCCAAATTAAAGAGTCTCCAATTGAGGAAGTATGGAGAACAAACCACTGAATCCCTTAACATACACACCCTTCTTGAGTCAGGGCAAAAGTGGAATGCCTGCAAGTTTGAGTTAGAGGAAAGAAAAACTTACCTCCTCCCCCCCAGTCTTCTGATGACCAATTATACTGGAATGTAGCCTGAGGTCAGTTCTTTTGTGTGTGTCAATCACTCAAGTCAAACCACCCTCCCCCTCCCTCATTCAACATCTTTCTTTTGCAGTGATGCAGGGGAAAGAAAATATTTTCCAGCTCGGTTTTTTTAGAACAGGTAAACCTATGACATGACCCTTCTCAGTTGCCTCTCACATGAATGTCCCATGTGTACATAGTCTTCTTTGGGGGGAAGGGAGGTTTACTCTGGTGTGGAGAGATTTTGCCATCACACACCCAAAACCCTTCTCTACCACCCCACGAACCTTGTTTGCTTCTCCTCAGACCTGGGATGATTAGAAAATAGTCTTATCTCAAGTTCCCAGTCACAGTCCAAATTTCAGTCAGGAGGCATTGGGGGGGGGGGGGTGGAATTAGGTGGTTGAAGATTGCAACAGTCTTTCTATGATTTTGACAGTTTTAAGACATTACCAGCATATCAGTCCATCACACCTCCATCCTCTGGAGCACAGAGTATGGGTCCGAAAGAATAGAAATAAATAGCAAACTATTTATGGTGATCCGTGCATTGTGTTAGAGCAACAAGGATTCATTATCTCAAGACATTTGCCTTGATGCGGAACAAAATGTTTCTTGTTTTGAGATACACTGTAGTGAAAAGCCATAAACTTTGCTTATATATATTGGTAAAGGATGCACTTCCGTGAGAACTTGTGATTTTGTATTTGTAAATTACTGTATATACAAGTAACCACTCTAATATTTATGCATGTAACTTTGTGGACATTATGGGATGTGATTTTAGTTATTCAGTTCCTGTTATAGCTTATCAATTGCTAAAGTCTAGTTATACTCTGATTCAAGACCTACAGCCTACTCCTATTGGAATGAATGTCACCTTGATAAGAAAACCACTACAATATGGAGACCTTAAGGGATTGATGAAGCAAGCTCAAGAAAATGGACAAAGAACTCTGATTATCATCCATCATGATGTGAAGAAAATACATCATGTTTTGGAACAAGTCAAGAAAGATGCAGATTGGTGATGGGACACCCTTTTTGGATGCTCACTGTTACAGGAATTCTCAACAGAACACTTCACCCTGTTGTTGTCTTATTGATATTAACCCTTTTGCTTTTTGTTTTTTATAATTATATTGTATGTTAAAACTTGGATTATTATGAAGCAATTAGCCTATCTACTACCCCCATTAATATTAGATAATCCATGCAATACAAATGCATGAAACACTCTTTAACTTCATTTGGAAATTGTGAAGAGTGACTATAGTCATGGGATAGATTATGTAGGAAAATGACTGGGGTAAAATGGAGAAAACAAGGAAGTTATATTCACATTCTAACAGATGTTATAATGGTACAGAAATTATACAGTGAAATGCAGTTGCTACTCCCTGGATGGAATGCAGTTGGCATGCACGGGATTGGTTCCACATAGTTCCCCACACAACACATCCTGCAACCTTCAGCACATGCTAAGGGTGGAGCAGAGTGGAGACATCACAACCAGGCTCTAATGAAATCCTTGCAGGGAGGGGAACTCGATGGTATGCTGTAGTTGATAAACTGCACAGCAACTCTCAGCCAAGGGAGAGAGGAGACGTCTTGCTGCTGAACCAGCAACAGTGATGAAATTGCTCTCCTCAGGTGAACTTGGTTCATTGCAATCTCATTGTAATGCTACCACACACCTCCATCCCAGAATTATCTGCCTCCAAGGTACATCCACACCTCACTGAGCATGCACTCTAGATTTTATTGGTTGTCTTTAAGAGTAAAGCAAGAGTATTTTACACCAATCAGTAATGAAGGTATGTATGACTAGAGCCACTTAAGCCCCACCTAAAGGTAAAGAAATAGTATAAAAATTAGTTAAGGATGGGGAGAAATCAGGGAAGACTCCATCATAACTACTGGGATCAGTCAACATGTTGAATCTGTCTCTCCCCGATAGGGATATCTATTAGGTAAGAACTGTACTCTGTGTGCCGATTTATTATCTTGAGCCAGCTTTTGTTAGTGATTAGAGCTTGTCTGTGTACTGCTTTGAATATGTTTTTGCTGTCAATTACTATCAATGACAATATCTGAACCTTAACCTGTCACAGTCTTCTATTATCAGTCTGTTGACTTAAAAAGAGTGTGAAGGAAAAGACTCCAGGCCAATTTAATGTATAAGATAGAGTAGGTCCTTTAATCAGCCTACAGGCCCAGAGGAATAAACCTGTGTGGGAAGTGATGAGATTGATTTGCAGGCCTTGCAGATACCCTGGTTGAGCACAGAAGAATTGTTGCTGCATAAGCTGTGAGAACAAGCAGAGTGCTGAATGGTCAAGTGCCATAGCGTGTGATCAGTGTCCACAAACCTCTAAGGGCACCGCCATCCGATCACCTGGGATTTGTCCCTGTCCCAGTTTAAATGAGACAAGGGTCTTTTGCTGAGGATGAGGTATGAGAAAAGAGTCAAACTCCTCCCTCTAAGCAATTATAAATTCAAAATTAAGAGGGTCCGATTGAAGTAAAAACAAATTATGGAAAAGGAAAAAATAACAGCCCTTTATTAAAAGGTATGTGTGCATTAACAGAAAACACAAAAAACCCAAGTAAAACAACCAATGGTACAATTCCAATCACAGTCAATAGGGGGCGCCATTGGGTCACTGGAGATGCAGAGTTTGTAGTGTCCTATAGCAGTCACCAGGTGGCACTGTTGGATCACTACAGATGCAGAACTTGTAATGTCCTGTACCCAGGTATGCCGGAGAAACCAATCCAACAACAAAAAAAAAACTGGACCTTCTTTCCCTTCCCACACACTGGGAAAGGGGAGAGG